TCGCCCCCTGTGCTCACCCTCCTGCTCCCTTCAGCTCCTGCAGCTCTGGGAGAAGAACGGCTACTTCGATGACTCCATCATTCAGCAGCTGCAGAGCCCGGCCCTGGGCCTTGGCCAATACCAGGTGAGTCCCAGCGAGCGTCTGGGCCAGGCCCTGCCTTCTCTCCTGAGCCTCCGCCTGGGCACTTGTGGCTCCGCTGGGTCAGGGACGGTACTCAGCTGTTTCCTCTGTGCTGTCCTGGAGGCCACTCCCTCCCCACAGAAGGGCTCACCAGGACCTTGCGGTCCATGGTATTTCGAATGTTGCCCCGTGGTCCATCCTTATAAAGTGGAGTCATTCCGCTAGCCACAGCGGGTCACCTGCTCTGCGCCTCCTGACTTGGTGGCACTGCTTTCACTGAGCTGTGGCTGTGCCTGTTCTTTCATGAGACGCCTTACTGGACTCTGCGGACCCCCAGAAGGTGACCACTGTCCTGTCTTATGGGCAAGGGACCTGAGCATGGGAGCCCCAGTGGCGTGTTGGATGCCACGCAGCAAGTTAGTGGCCGGGCCCCAGAACGCGCCCATAGGGCTTCTCCACAGCGTTTCCTGTTCTTGTGTTTGCAGTGCCGGGCAGGAACCCGCGGCCTTGGGCCAGCCAGGCAAGCACTCGGCACCGACCACACAGGCTGCCCCCGTGCACACGTTTTCATGGCTGTGCAGTGGCCCAACACGGGCTGCGGTCTCCTTCCTGTTCCCAGGAGCCCTGGCTGCCGTGGCCGGGGTGTCCTGAGCCTGAGTGCTGCACCTTCCCTCCCGCCAGGCCACCCTGATCAGCGAGTACTCATCGGTGGTGCAGCCCGTGCAGCTGGCCTTCCAGCAGCAGATCCAGACGCTGAAGACGCAGCACGAGGAGTTCGTCAGCAGCCTGGCGCAGCAGCAGCAGCAGCAGCAACAGCAGCAGCAGCAGCAGCCACAGGTCCAGATGCCCCAGCTGGAGGCCGAGGTCAAGGCCACTCCACCCCCGCCTGCACCGCC